TTCTCACTTTTCTGATTCTCTCCCCCATCCCACCTGGGGGGGGGAGTGAGCAAGCGGCTGTGTGGTGCTTAGTTGCCGGCTGGGGTTAAACCACAAGAAACAGTGAAGAAGCAATCCACCTAGTATATAAGCTTTTTCACATTTTTCCTAATACATCTTTCCATTGTGTCTGTCTCCCTGTTACTTAATGCACTGGTAGAAATTAGTGGTGATTGGAGAGAAGGGAGGAAAGAAGAAACAGAGATAAGAGATCCTTAAGGACCAAAAACTACAACCTCATAAACGGTAAACTATCCAGCTCTTCAAATACTTTATTTCAGAGAAGCCATGCAAGCAACCTCACTAATAGCACAGGGAAAAATAAGATCTTAAAAATAGTAAGTAACCTGAACTTTCTCTTAGGGAACTGTGAATGTGAATTTATAGCCATTAAAATATTAATCTCTGCTTGATTTTGACTTGTCAAAAATACAGAATCAATATGGCTTAAGAACTGGGATACTGACAGTGCATCAAAAATGGAAAACTGACTGAGGCCCCATATGACACAGCTCATCTTCTAAACATGAAAGGAGTTTAGACATCAGGATCATCTTCTGATATGAAAAGTCATCACAGTTTGGAAGCTTCTAGCCATGGATTCTAGTCTAAGTATTTTCTAATTTTATATGAACTTCAGCACCTTAAACTAAATACGATTTCAAGAATGCTTCCGGCACCTGGTGAAATTCTTACTAAGAGAGACCAACACTAATAAACACACAAACCAATTAACATCATTGTGATCAGCCTCCACTACAATGAAAAGTAACGAAGGACATAGGTAGCTATATATGAATTTGCCTGTCTAAAGGAGATCTTTACAATGCAGGTGCAACTCCTCATCAAAAGCTGATACAGAACAGTGTTATGGTTAGCAAATACTATATGCTGCAACTTCAGCATATGAGAAAATGAAAAATGTAGGGTGATTTCATAAACATTAAAAAAAGCAAGTTGCAATATACACCATGAGTGCCACCTATTAAAACAAAATGCTTTAGTACTATTCTGCATAATAAAAACTTGTATTTTACCTGACATTGAACATAAAAAAAATTGCCCTTTTTATCAGTTCATTGAAAGGAGACTTGTCATTTGAAAGCATTGAAGAGACAAGTCATATAAATTATACTTTGCTAGATGCACTTTTTTTATCCCATTACTGAAAGAGAATAAACCAGTGCTGGTTCCCCCCAAACATAATTATTCTATGAGATTCTCAGTATCCAAACCGCAATAAAATGATAATGTAATAAATAATTATATAAATGTAAAAGTAATAACATTATAAAATTAAATGACTGCTGTTAATAAAACTAGCACACCTTGAATTGCCTACTATAACCATCACCTTATAGTTGGCTATTAGCAGATATTCTCTAGTTACATTTAAAAAATAAAAAATAAAAAAAAATCACTGTTTCTGAAGTAACTTTGAAAATCCTTGGATCATGATCACATCTGGGTTCATCTGCTCACGAGCGGGAGCAGACACTCACCTGTAGAGGGTGTGGAAGAAACAGCAGGGGGAGTTGGAGAGGTGAAGCCATCAGCAAGGGGCTGAGCTCCTGCAGCAGCAGCAGCAGCATCTGGGGCAGCGGAGGAAGGGGCAGGAGCAGGAGGAGTGGGGGCAGGAGCAGAGGTAGCAGGAAGGGGAGAAGTGCCAGCCGAGCCAGCAGGGGCTAAGTGAAGAGAGGAGGAAGAGGTGGAGTTAATAAGGAGATATGTTAGCAAGGATTAGAGAAAGCCTTTGACTATTCAGTGTTAGCTATTTATTAGATGCACAGTATTTTAGAATGCACGAGGAGATGAGAGAAAAATGGAGCTGTTAAAGAAAGGCTCATTCCTATGTAGACAGTAAAAGAGGGTCAAGCAAATCCACTTCTTCTTTCCAGGTCTGAAGGGAACAACCCAGAACTTTTCACTGAAAGCCGTTACTTTTGAAAGATGTCTTTACATCTTGTTATTTATGCTTCGATCTGTAGCATGGCTGCCTTCAGCTTTTGTACGAATTAGAAAATATACAGAAGAGGAAAGCCAAAAATTTCCAGTTCTTTGGTTCAGAAGCATCATGTATTTCAGATCACACTGCAAGCCAACTATACACTCTTCTTCACTGAAAGGGCTGAGCAAAGGAAAAAGGAGTACTAATATCACTTCCTATTTTTGGAAAGACTGGGCAATTACATTGAACAAGTGTCTTTTTGTGACAACTCAGTTAGGCTTGCATTAATGTACTAACGATTTACTCTGTGCCTGCCTCTCATTTCATTTAATTTTCTAAAAGCATGCTTCTATAGATCTGCATGAACAGCCAATGAAAAAACATTTATTTACTTAAAAGGACAAGGGAGAAATTTCCCCCAGCCCACTGAAAAAGGTGGTGTGTCCTACCTAGACACATACAGGCAGCCAGGCAAAAAATTGTGATAAATAAATTAATATATAAAAGAAGCATTAGAGCACATCAGACACTCCCAGGAAAGATACTACTTGATTCAAACTCATACTATCAATAGCAAGAAATTTTCAAGGCTTGCATGTTTCTGGATAATGAACTTTGAGACTTCTCTTGGGGTTTACTCAGCACTGTGTTTAGGAGACTTGCAAATGCTAAAGGTTAATGCTGGGTCAGAAGGAGGAACAGCAAGTTTCCATTTACCTGGATAGACACTGGGAGGAGATGGTGTGGGAACAGCAATAGGAACACCCACACTTCCACTTCCACTGTTCTCTCGACTGCTGCTCCGACTACTTGGGTGGCTTCCTCCACTACTCCCACTGCTGCTGTAAGAAACAAAAATAACCCAGGGTATGAATATGCTGCTGTACATGCTGAAACATAAGATCCCTCATATAGCACCTTACTAATTCAGAGAAGTAACAGGGAACAAGAGAAAACAAACAAGGGTGATCTAAACCTATATAAAGCTTAGTTTTCCTAAAACTCTTCACTTTGACTACAACACAACAGTTTTTTCAGTTAGTCTTAGTGAACTTGCCCAAAAATGAAACACTTCCAGAACCTTGTTCCAAAGCATGTCATTCCAATATTGTTAAACCTCTACTGAGCAAATACAGACCTTTCTCCTCTAACTTATAAAACGTGTAGACTGTTTAGACTCTGGTTTATATGCTTTCATATGAGACAACTGATATCTGGAAATTTTGAGATAGTAAAGTAAAAGTCAGATTTTCTTATATTTTAAGTCCATCTGTTTAGCCATCCTCAAGTACTTACGATGTTTAAAAAGTAAAGATTTCAAGGGAAGTAATTAGACCTGTCACATCACGAAACTCTTTTATTATCCTAGAGAAAAGGCTAGCCTTCTGCAGAACCTTTGGTAATACAGTTCAGCTTTATTCTGCATTTGAAGTTAACAGTATCCTCAAAATACAATGCTCTTTTTCAGCTACCCAATCTATAAACATCAAAGACTGTTCAAACAAAAATGTGAACTATAAGCATATTATGCAGTCCTTCAACATGCAGAAGTCAAGCTGTGTACAAAGTCTTTTCCCAGTTTTGTAAGCATTTTGTAAAATAATATCATGATCTACCTACCTGAAAGACTTCACAATTTTAGTAATTCATTAAGTACTGTAACTAAGTGATAGCACTAAAATTAAGGTGACATGGGGATTAAGTGAACAATCTTAACATGATTCACTATTCTGGTTTTATTAGAGTGCATTCTTGTCATGCCAAATGACGTTCCCAGTCCATATCATGAATTAGCAAGCTTCACTGTAGAGGTGGAGATGGATTTGATCTTTATCGTTGCATTTTTTGTCCATATGCTTATACAATACTAGCCACACTTTGTACAGGACTATATTGAATACCTGTATGTGCGATTCCTCTGATTCACTGAAGCTGTTCTAACAGGGCTCTGCTGTGAGGGAACCATATTGCGTGTTGGGCTAGGCACATAGTCATTTGGTACCACTGGAGGACGTACTGGCTCCAACGTACGATAGGGAGAGTGACGCCTACAGAAGGACGAGCATATTTCAGAAGCAAATTAAGATAATACAGACAAAACCAAAGATTTTTCATTCTTTAAAAGATAGCTACATACTAATCAGTAATGGGAGCTAAAAAAAAAAAAAATGTTTTTCTATAAGTTTGCAGTATCTACTTCATAGGATGAGAAAAAACAATTAAGGATGTCTTCATGTACTTCAATGTCCAGATGCTTTTCCTATTCATAAACTCTGTGTTGCACATCCCATTCTTGTTTTAAAAGTAATCCATATCTTGTTTTAAAATAAAGCAGCATGGTCTGTATGTATATACATAATCACATACCAACAAACAGCATTCATCCCAGTTAAAACACATTTTCCTAAGGTCAAAGTCAAGTTCATAGACTTAATAGGAAAAGTACTTTTATCACACACAGCACAAATAATTAATGAATGGTGCCACATACTAATCTTCCAGTTGTTTAGCACCACCTGTCAAAGCTACACGGTTAATGACTTTTTACTCTAAAGCATGTAGTTGTAAGTGTTGTAAGTGTTCTGCAATGATAAAAAGGTTCCTGTTGGGAAAGGCTGATGACGCCCACTGTCTCCTGGCAGAAACGTGCTAACTGATACAAAAGACATGATCAGTGTAAGAGGATGCGGATATAACACCTCTTGACCTTTCTGAATGGTTAAAGCAAAAAACAAACAAAAAAAACACCAAAACACCCACACTAGAGAAAAAGAAAGAATCTTCCCTTTTTTCCCTTCTGTTCACCAAAGCCATTTACACATTTGGTAACTGCACTTACCCAATAGTTCCTTTTCCCGACATCGGTGGACTTGGTGGCTTCTGGGTGGGTGGTGTTGTACGAGGCAGCCCACCCATCTTCATATTCTGTGTGCTGACCTGCATGAAAGAACGGGGAGAAAAACGGCCTTCGCTAAGCTCGGCTTCTAGGGGGAGAGACACTGAGATGCCTTTAGCAATTAAGTCTAAGTAGGGGAAGGTTTAAACAAACAAAAAAATTGAGAGGCCATGCATTTTATATGCAATTTCCACTCTGCTAGAAGTCAAGAGTTGCGCTCAAAGGACTCTTTATTACATAGGTTTTTTAAAAATTGTATATACAAAAAGTGAATTTGCCTTTAGGCAATCACACAAACATTAAATCACTGACTTTACAGCCACTGTATCTAACTTGGTTAAACCTCCCAGTCATCTTTTGAGATAAAGGCAGTTACTTAGGTTGCACTGCTGAATGGTAAATTTGCAAAACTATTTTTTAATACTCTTTAAAAATAATAAGGTTTTATCTAATAGGCCACAATTTAATGTAATTCATACAAATATGGAGAAGCCAAAGTAATCTCCAAATATGATCCATTAATGTTTTAATGTTTTCACAGTGTGATATCAAAAATTTTTAAGATAATATTTATTGTAAATATTATTTATGTATATGTAAACATAGAGAGAAAGCTCTATGGAGAAAAATACAAAGATGTACTTTTTTCCCCCACCAAATCTGTAGCAATTAAATCTCTCAGAATTGATAAATAAATGGACAGGGAGAAAAATATTTAGCAGTGATGTGACGTAATTGCAGTTGGCCCCTCATTCAGGTTAAAATACTAATGAAGTAACTTCTATATAAAATAATTTACTCTAACTTCTTTAAAAAACTCATCTGCTTTCCTCACTGATTGATCAATCTAGGAATCATAAACAATTGTTACCAATGTAGGCATTTTGCTTATCTGTATACTGCCAGCCAAACATAATTCTCTCAATGCGTGCACCCTTACAGGAATCAGGACATGCTCTTCTTACAAGTCTCTGTTAAACAGCTTGGATTTATGAATGCTCAAACTATTGCTTAGACACAGAGATATTCAACAAACCTAAATAAGTATGCTTACATCCCTTTTTCTGTTGTTCCTGTCATGCTCTATTTCACAGCGTTTCTTATTTCCAAAATGTAAGTCTTAACTACTGCCCCCACCTTCCATATAAAAAAAAGGCACAGTGATCAAGGCGTTAAGAGTATTTGCAACCATCATTAAAGGCAAATTACTCCTTTAAAATTTGACTATAACAACTCACTTAAAACCCTGGCAATGTCTAGATTCGTGAGTTGATAAATATTGAGAACAGTGTAAAGAGTAATATATATTCAGTATTTTAATCCACTGAAACTTGATTCCCTGGCTCTAAATAATCTGCTGGGAGGAAAAGAAAACCAAGCGTTGGAAGGGGTTTTTTTGTCAGTTTCAAAAACAGATGTTTGGATTTAGTTGTGCAAGAGTACTCTGTAATGTCAATTTAAGACAAAAGCCTTTTGCGCAGCATTATGAAGTCCTTTAAGCCAACTCTAAGCAACAAGAAATCTAAAGTTAATTCAAGTGAGGGACGAGGTAAGCACTGAACTACAACTACTTGAAGGGAAGAGGGAAAGTGTAAAATGAAGTATATTTTATTCTATACACGGAACATTAAGACATAGCACAAAATCTGAATTATTTTTTTTTAAAGTTGCAGCACCTCCTGTATTTCCTCTTTCATTAAAGACGCCTGTTTCTCCCACCTACCTATTTGAGTTGTCCAAAAAAAAAAAAAAAAGGGGGGCAAACAAAAAAAAACCCACCTTAAATAAACACTCGCTGTATTGGCACTTGCTATATTTCAATCAGCCCATTAAGCCTAGTGGGGCAGGGGTTTTGTATGTCTTTAGATGACAGCAAACTTGGACTAATCTGTGTGCCCCTGAATAGTCCATTTAGATGTTTTAACTGGCTACACTATTGTGTCTGACCAGATGATGTAACCACTAGCTATCACTTTACAGTTAACATAAAATTCCATATATTTAACCATAAAGAATCTTATTATTTGTATACAATCATTGCAGGAACAAAAATTAAGTTTTAGGCTTCCACTGGGCTAGAGCTACATGAAAAGAAAGGACGGTAGAGCTGGAGGATGCAGTGACATCACACAGTATACAGTAAGAAGTGGAAGTAATACTTGCCTAACGCAGAACTCCAGTGACTGCTAGTTACTTTCATTAACACTGCGAATAAACATATCCTTGACATAGCATAGGAAGAAAGCTCTATAAAATGTGGCCAAAGAAAAAGTGATCCTTTTTTAGCCAAGAAACTTTAGTCACAAAGAACCCATTCTTAAGAAAGACTAAACTGAAAGATGGGGAAATGCACTGACAGTAAGCTTAGTTTCAGGCTCTTGAAATGACTTTTCAACATTGAAATCGAAATGTTGAAAGAGCAAGTAATTAAAGTTTACAGGGCTGTCTCCAAATCTGACAGGATTGATGGCTTTAAGATTAGCTACTGTAACTTAAACAGCCTGAGTAACTTCCCCCTTGACTTACGGTCAAATAATCACAGAAGAGAAACGAAGAATATAAAATTATTCCAACAGTTCTGATCAAAATGGACAGATCCGTGGAAATAATATCATGCAAGACACTAAAAAAGGTTACAGACTGCCTTGAGCAAAGAAAAAAAAAAAATTTAAAACTACACAAGTTGCAACTTCAGTTGAGATACAAACATTGTAACATTTCCAACTGTCCCTTTCTATGATGACTTCTACTAGGACGAAAAAAAAAGAAAAAAAAAAGGAAAGCCATTAATGCCCCCTCTTGCAAAACTTTATTGCGTTTTCCATTTTGCACACATGGTTGTAAAGATAGTCTCCATACACAAATCCTCATCCACACGCATTCCTCTTACAAACTTCTAAAATCCGAAGCAACCACTAGAACTCAAGGTCACATTTGCATTTGCTGTCAAGTTTCAAAAATCTGTTTTCTGGAGTAAGTTGGAATTTGCCAGAAGTTGCACTGTTCCTGATGACATTTCCCCTAGCTCCGCGCAGCTGGAACTATCCAGATGCAACTGGTTTAATTAGGGGGTGAAAGCAGAGGAATGCATCTGTCTGTTGGTGGTTTGTTTGACTGCAGGACCGCACAGATCTGTGGCTGGTTTGTAGTCAAGAGCTTGCAAACTCTTTCAGGAAACTGTGTGGCAAAACAGCCTGCAACCAGAAACACAAAGGAGTATCTCTGCCTTTGCTCACAACAGCCAAAACAGCTAACCACTGTGCTAAAAAAAAGAAAAAATTAAGAGAGTCAATAATGATTTGGGCACAAAGCTCAGGAAAAAAAAACCCGCTGACTGTTCTAACAGCAGGAAGACAACCCTGTGAACAGACAAGTAGTACACAGGGTCTACGCAGAATGCCTGCAGGGATTTTTCCAATTCTTTTTTTTGCCTCTTCCCATGGAAGCAAAAAAGTAGAAAATATTACCAACTGAAATTACATGGAAGAACACCAAGTAATTCTAGGGAGATCTTGGATAAGCTTTTTTTTCACTGGATACCTTGCAGACGCTTTTTATACGTGAATTAGCAAGCACCTGCACTATGGAAGAAAATGTCTCCTACCAAAGCTGTAACTGTCAGCACTGGAGCTGGAATTGTAAGTTTTGCTGAGGAAGAAACTGCATAAACAACTTAAAATAAGCAGATCCTTGGTTAGTAACACATCCTGGACGATGCTCTGAGATCCAGCTCCACAGTAACAGCCATAAAATGAAGTGTACAGAAATGGACTGCTATGGACCATTCTGTTTAAAAAGGGCACAATACTATTTCATCCAATATTTTCTATATTGGGCTATGGTGTCAGTTTTAGAAAGGTAACGTTTGATGACTTCAAGACACGATATGGGACTGTCTAGAGCCCTTAGAAAATGATCATTTTAAGTTTAATTTTTTGAATAATTAAGACTTATTTGTCCAATTTCTATTTTTTGGCAACTAGTTTTTCATAGATCCCCGTGATTAAATCACCTTCTTATGATCCTACATATGACTGAGTTTCCTTCATAGTTACATTTTTATGAACATTTAACAGATTGAGCTTCTTTAGCACTCCACTGTATAAGAAATTTGTAGTGAAAGAAACTGGTTAAAACTGAGAAATCCTGCAGTTCATTCAATTCAATTCTTGGGAGTGTTTTCATGAGCAAAAAAATTCACCAAACAAGAAGTGCAGAAATACACAGTTGGTCAGATATAAGAGCTGGTCATCAGACGTGCAAAAACTATTTGCGCCAACGCACTGTGTATTTACGTGGCTGTAAGGCACTTACCTGCAACAAAGATTTCAATCCACATTTTTACTCTTCTGAAGAACATCTCATTGACAGTTCAATTACCAAAACAAAGTGGTTTTTTTCTTCCAAAAATCCTGAATACCAGATATTCCACACAATCAAACCTCAGGAGGAGCTACTTTCTAAAGCCAAAGTTGGACTCAGCCCAGAAATTTTTAAGTGGTGCTTTATGGTCAGATTGGATTTTCTAGAACTTTCAGGATGTCAAAAGAATCATTTTTTTCCCAAAATCTAATAAGAAAAAGTGTTCCATCAGTGATGTTCCATGGATTATATTCAGAAACTTCAAGCAGCCACCCAACCTTCTTGAGCAATTTTATACCTGACTCCAGCAAAAACAACCTAAGGCTGAATGAAAACTACCTTCCCACGCCTTGCTTCATCTCGTTAACGCTCCAGAGAGGATGAACAGATTTTTGGCCCATCATCTGCTACCTCAAAGTAAATTCCCTTCCAGGCTGTGCTCAGCCACTCGAATACTTACCCTGCATGTCTAATTAAACCATATGTTTGTCAGTTGATTAACCAGTTGATATGGAAGTGAAACGTCTAAATTTCAACACTGTCTTGGCAAATGACCACAAGTAGAAGCTTCAGCAAGTGAGTTTACTTGTTTTTACCACATCCACCTACATAAAGTAATTGGAACCAAGTCTGGTAAATACAAAAAGGCTTAAACAATGTCATTTTCAATTGATTTGCT